GCAGGCTTCTTACCTGGTCTTTGATGATCAGAGGTGGTCTCCTGGAGGAAGTGATGTCCCAACCAACCTCACTAATACATGTTGGAATTAATCCTTTTTTTTTTCAGGCTAATGTTGTGTTAAAAAGAAATCAGAACGCCGTTTTGATTTTTGTTTTGGGAACACTTAATACCTTTTTCTTGAGAATGAGTTGAGAAACTGAACTCTGTACTCCAGCCATCTGGTATATTTTTCCAAGATTGTAGTTTATCAGTCTCCAATGTTGATTAATCTCTACTTACCAGAACCTGCCAGGCTCTCTGTGACTGCCATGCCTTTGCATTTGCTATTCCTTGTGTTTGGAAAACCCTCCGCTTTTGCCTGCCCAACTGGCTTATCTTGCTCCTTCAGGACAGATAGTCACTTCCTCCAGGATGCCTTCCTCGACTGCCAATAGGTGGGTTGGGTGCACTTCCTTTAACCACATGCGTGGGTCTGGGCTTGGTCTTCATACTTCCCCAGACAGGCATCAGATAGCCTGTCTGCTTCTTCATTTTTCCATGTAGCCTGGAGGCTGAGACAGCATCTTTCACAGAGCCCAGCATGTCCTGGGCACCCAGGCAGTGTTTGTTGAACGAACAAATTCCAAAACTTTTGAGGGTTATAGCCACATGTATGTAATTGAAGCTCTTGGTTCCAGTTGGTTTTAAGAGAGTGTTATTGACTGAAGAAAGTAGAAGCACCAGTGAAACAGATTTTATGCATGTGGTCTAGTTATTAACCTCATAAAACTCTTTACAATCTTTTACATTTTATACCTCTTTACTTTTGTTCTTTGCCCAAGTAACCCATAAGCTGAGTAATTCATAGTTCCCACTTCTTGCCAACTACTAATGTACATTATTAAATCTGACCACAGTGATTTATTAATTGGAAGTCTTTTGGTTGTTAACAAAAATCAATTTGATTTCGCATTTGTCAGGAAGAGGGGCTTATGCGATAAAGAGACAGGACTGTCTTATAGAATCTAAGATCAAAAACACAGCGAGGCTTCAGGAAGAACGGGTCCCAAGGATTGGAAGGCCAGCAGGAATCCTGAGAGTCTTTTCTGTTTATCTTTGCTTCTCAGTGGATAGACGATGGCTTCCTATAACCCTCAGCTTTACAGCCTAGTTCCAGCCATATGCCAAATCTGTCTTTCCATCTCAATTCCAAATCCCCCAAGACTCTGGCATAGCTTTTGTGAGATGTCTATTCAGTCAGCTGTGGCCAGGGAGTGGGGTCCAGCTGAATAAGCCTGCCTGCCTCTACTCCCCTCTGAGGGGTAGGTGGGAAGGTAGGAGAAAGGGACAGGGAGGACAGCAGATGGAGAGAGAATACATGGTGGGCAGATGCTCCAGAAATACCTAATACAGTGATGAAGGCCAGGGACCTGTATACACTACCTAGAAGTCATTTCTAGGTTATTTTGTCTAAAAAATTTTCAATCTTAGGAGACACTGAAAGATTTGCTGTGAAGAGATTATATTTATCTTTTTGAATATGAGTATAATTTGAGATTCTGAAGGTAATGGCCCATTCACTGAAGTAATTAGTGAGTTTTAGCTTCGTGTGTATGTATAGTACTTGTTATATGTGATACCGTCTTCAGTTGCTAGGAAACAAGTTCAGAACAACTCTGATAGAAATAAAAGATGAGACTATTTGGAGTTTTCTCATAGCCACATTAAAAATGTAAAGTGAAACAGGTGAAATTAATTTTAACAGTATATTTTATTTAGCTCAGTATTTCCCAAATATTATAATTTCAAGAACATAAGGATTAGTAATGAAGTATTTTCTATATTTAAACAAATCTGTGAAATCTGGTATGTATGTTATATTCCAGTGCATCTCCCTTTGGGCTGGCCACATCTCAAGTGGTCAGCCACTACATGCAGCTAGTGGTTGCCATGTTGGACAGCATAGTTCTAGAAATAGCTAAGGCAATCTGTTTTCTTTCATAGTTTCTCTAAAATTTTCTTGTCAAAAGCCTTAATGCTTATGGATTGCTCTTTTTAAAAGTATACAACAGCAGGGAACCCTAGGAGGTAGGGATTTTTAAACTAGCCAAGAAAGAGTTGCCTGCTTGGAGCATTTGCTGTGTGCCATGTGTATTGGCAGAAAAGAACACAAAAATTTTAACAATCACCAGGCCCTGAAGCTGCTACTTGTTCTTCCTAGACTCCTGATTCTGGGAATGTTGCTTAAACTCCTTGGAAGCCTCAGTTTGCTTATCTATTAAAATAGGGTTTATAGCCGCCCTTATTAGACGAGGTTTTCATGGAATTTAAATGGGCTAATGAATGTAGAAGTGCTTTGAAAAACATTAAAAGGGTTATACAGATTTAAAGCATTGTTTTAATTTGTTAACTGGGGAAAAAACACTGTGTTTTGGAATCAGTAATAGCTGTCATTTATTGAGGTTTTACTTTGTGCCAGGCACTGTTCTTAGTGCTTTATACATATTACATAATTAACAATAACAACACCTTTCGAAGCAGGTACTGTTACTATAATCTCTGCTTTATGTATGACAAAACTAAAACATAGAGTTAAACTATCCCAAGGTTATGTACATGGTTAATAACTAGTTGAATTGGAATTTGGAATGCACCTTTTTTTATATACAGTGGCAAAATGCACACGACATAAAATCGATCATTTTAACCATTTTCAAGTGTACATTTTTGTGGTATTAAGTACACTCACATTGTTTGTTTTACTATCTCTACCCTCCGTCTCTTCATCTTCCCCAACTGAAACTCCATACTTAACACACACTAACTCCCCATTCCCCACCTCCCTGTCCCCAGTCACACCAATGCCAACCATCAGTCTTCTTTATGTCTCAATGAACTTGACTACTCTAGAAACCTTATATAAGTGGAATCATACAATATTAGTCTTTTTGTGACTGGCTTAATTTCACTGAGCATAATGCCTCCAAGGTTCATCCATGTTGCAGTATGTGTCAGAATTTTCCTTTCTAAGGCTGATATTCCCTTGTTTGTATGTACCACATTTTGCGCCATCATTCTTCCATTGATGGACACTTTGGTAGCTTCCACCTTTTGGCTTTTGTGACTAATGCTGCTGTGACTGTGGGTGTATAGGTATCTGTTTGAGTCCCTGCTTTTAATCCTTTTGGGTATATGTATACCCAGAAGTGGAATTGCTGGATCATCTATATTTGAGTTTTTGAAAAATTGCCATCTTGTTTTTCACAGCACCTGCTCTATTTTAGATATGTACCAGCAATGTGCAAGGGTCCCAGTTTCTCTCTACATCCCCTCTAACACTTCTTTTCTTTCTTTTCTTTTTAAAAAAATAATAGCTATCCTAATGGGTGTGAAATGGAATTCATTATTGTTTTGATTTGCATTTCCCTGGTGACTAGTGATGTGGAGCATCTTTTCATAGATCTGTTGGCCATTTTTATGTCGTCTTTGGAGAAATGTCTATCTGAATCCTTTGCCCATTTTTCAGTTGCGTATTGTTGTTGTTGAGTTAGAGTTTTTTAAAAAATATATTCTGGATATTAATGCCTTATCAGATATATGATTTGGAAATATTCTCCCATTCTGTTGGGTTGACTTTTCACTCTGTTGATAGTATTCTTTGATGTGCAAAAGTTTTTTTTTTCCTTTTCAAATTAACCTAATTCTATTATTTTTTTTTGAAAAGGTTTAAAAAATTTTTATTGAGGTATAGTTGACTTACCTAAAGTTTTTAATTTTTTTCTTTTTTCTTTTTTCTTTTATTTTTTAAAATTGAGGTATAGTCAATTACAGTGTATCAATTTCTGGTGTACAGCACAATGTCCCAGTGTTGCATATACATACATATATTCGTTTTCATATTTTTTTCCATTAAAGGTTATTACAAGATATTGAGCATAGTTCCCTGTGGTATACAAAAGGAACTTTTTTAAAAAATCTATTTTTATATATAATGGCTAACATTTGTAAATATGAAACTCCTATATTTATCTCCTCCCACCCCTTTTCCCCAGTAACCGTAAGATTGTTTACTAAGTCTGAGAGTCCATTTCTGTTTTGTAGATGAGTTCATGGTGTCCTTCTTTTTTAGATTTCACTTATGAATGATATATGGTATTTTTCTTTTTGTGGCTTAAAAAGGTTTTAATTTTGATGAAGTTCAATTTACTTAGGTTTTCTTTTGATGCTTGTGTTTTTGGTGTCATATTCAAGAAATCATTGCTGAATCCACTGTCATGTAGCTTCTTGTGTTTTTATGAGTTCTAAAAGTTTTATGGCCGTCTCTGTCTGTGTCTCCTGTTTCTGTGTCACTTTGTGTCTGTTTTTCTATATACTTATATATACTATTTACTTCTAAATTATTGAAGCTTATGTATGTGTTCTCTCGTTTCTTGCCTTGTTTCTTTTTTGTTGTTGAACTGTTTGAAAGCATTATAGAGATCATGAGACTTCATGTATCTCCTAAAAATAATGGCATTTTTCTAAATAAGTATAATCCTATGATCAGCACTGCCCTTGGAACTGGGCATATGGAGTCCCTGCCTTGGGCTGTATACTTGAGAATGCCTTTCTTGAATTTTTCTAAGTCCCTCCAGCCCCACCACTCCTCCCTGCCCCAGTACCTAAAATGCAGGGTGTCCCAAATGCTTTTCTTTTAGTAGTTTCACATTGAGAATTGTGGTAAAATTTCTTTCTTTTTTTAAATTGAAGTACAGTCAACTACATTGTGTCAGTTTCTGGTGTACAGCACAATGTCCCATTCATGCATATACTCGCATATTTTCATTTTCATATTTAAAAAAATTTCTAATTACATTGAGACTAGAAGCTTAACTTTATTTTGCTGGTTTTATTATTTACCACTGCATATCATATTTTCCTTCTAAATTGCCTTTCTCTGTTTTTATATATTCCTTTAACTGGTTAGTATGTACATAGTTAGTGTTATAGTTATTAATTACCTTTGTTTTATCTCTCCAGTACCGAGTTGAAGCTCTTGGAGGAGGCCACCATTTCAGTCTGCAGGTCTTTAGGTAAGGAGGAAAAATAAGTGTGTGTGATTGTGTGTGTGTGTGTGTGTGTGCACATATCGTGTACAGCACAATGTCCCAGTCATGCAGATATATATATATATACACATACACACACACACATATATTTGTTTTTGATGAGGTCTCTTTATTGGTTTATTAAGGTCTTTTTCAGCTCTGAACTTTTCTTTATTGTGACTTTGATTTTCTTTGTGTTTTAGTTTCTTCTCACTCAGCCTAGAATCACCTGTAATGTTCAGGTTGGATCTTTGGACTTTGTCCTCTGCGTCTTCCTTTTCTTTGTCTCTGTTATTTTCTTGTAGTTCCTCCTTTATATCTTTGATTCAGTGTTTTACACACTGCAGTTCTCAAGATTCTAGTGTATCTTTTAGTCGTTATTGCATTTTTTGTTTTAGATCATGCCTAGGTTTTCCTAAGCTGTCAGACGGCTCTCTTTTTGTTACACTCATTTCCCCCAGTGACCTTCTGTGCTTTTTAAAAAACAAATAGTTAATTTTCCTGTTTTCCACTGGTAATGCTTTTGTACTGTTTTAGCTTGAAGACAGTATATTGCTATTTTCCAACTAATTTCTAGAACTCTGGAAGGCTGTATTTTATGCAGGTTTGCTTGATTTACATGGGAACGTCTGTTACTCTTTCTCCTTGGCTCTGAACACACAGAGATGCACTTGCAAACATGAACTGGTTTTAGAAAACAATTTGTCTTGAAATCTCAGGATATTCTTTCAGTAAAGTAAACCCCAAGCTTAAAAGTAGGAGGTTTTTTTTGTTTCAAAGTGAAACTCTAAGCATATCTAATATTTAATTGCGTCTGTATACTGGATTGTGAAAGCTGGACAAAACTCGCCCTGGCTTAGAACACAGGCTGCATCTTGCCACTCACAGTGGGTTTCTCCAGCCAGAAGCAGTGGGCATCACCTGGGAGACTGTTACGAATGCAGAATCACAGCTCACACTCCACACATGTGAATTTAATTAAATTCTGATGTGACTCAGAATTTAAACCTCAATAAGAATTCTGTGTGACTTAAATGTACATTAAACTTTGAGAAGCACTGTCAACTTCAGTAGTGCGGAGTGGACCTGGGATTCTGCACTTTCAGTAGGCTCCAGGATAATGCTGTTGCCACTCGTCCCTGAACCACACTTGGAATAGCAGGGTGCTTCACGTTTTGTCACAGTGAGAAGGTTGTGCAGTTACTTGCATTGACTCTCAAGCTGTGACAAGAACACATACCCAGCATATAGACGTGGGTTAATTTGACAGTTATTGAGCACAAAGTAGGTATGTTGTAATGGTGTACTTAATCTCTTACACATGTTTTCTTTACAGTTTTGGATTCTGAAATGAAATGGCTATTTTCTTCTACAGTTTTTATTGTTTTCATTTGTAAATCATTTTGTTGTTGTTGTTGTTTAGAATTAAGACCAAGCAGCAGTTTTTCTTGTTGCTAATTTCCCTAATTAGATTTGAAATTGACAATAAGGTTGGTCCATGATAAACTTCAATTTGACATTTGGTTTTATAAATGTTATGATATGCTCACTTTGATTTCAGTTCGTAATATTAACTTCTAAAACCTTTTCTTCTCTCGCAGTTGAAAATAATCCTCGAACAGGAAACCTTGGTGCACTAATTAAGGTCTTCCTTTCTAGAACCAAAGAACTGAAAGTTTCAGCAGAATGTCAGAAGTAAGCCGGTTGATTAAATCACATTCTCTCTATATTTAATCTGTATTTAATAATATGAGTATTTTTCATTTATTGTTAGAAATTGATTATGGTCTTTGGAAGGCTATAAAGGAATGGTCCTCATTATTAAGGGGAAATAGTAAAAGAGAAATTTTAATTTACTGTCCAAATCATTGGGGTGAGATTATAAATTCTGGGATCTGTTTGATTTCAGCATTTTAGACAGTCTTTAGAAATACATTCTTTAAGAAGATTAATAGTGTAATTATTATTAAAAAAAGGTGATCTTCTCTCATTATCACCGCCCTTGTATCTAATTTAAGTAATGACTTAGTGTGAGTATCATCTCATTCCACATTTATTTCCTTTCTTTCATATAAGATGAACGAAGCTTCAGGTTAGGTATTATGGTTTCGTATTTATATAGTGGAAGGTTAACATTTTATTCACTCAAGCATTTTTTGAAGCCAGTTTTTGGATGATAATCTCTTAAAAGATTGCTTATTGCCCTGCTTCCAGTTTATATGAAATCCAATTAAAATTTTTCTTGTGAGTCCATGACTACAAATAGCAGGTATTACACTGTGCAGCTGATGATGCCCCATTTAAAATTTTGGTTGTGTATTTGCAAATACTCTCTTCATGTTACTATACTTTGTACTTACTTTATTTTTTATTTGAGTTGCCTAGGTATGGGACAGCTATCAAGTTAAGAATAAAAAGCATGCCTAAAGGAAAATTTTTGAAATTGACTCCCTGTGTGAAATACACAGAATGAAATATGAAGTAAACTGTAGTAGATATCCCTGGTCCATAGTCATAAATCATGAGCCATGATGAGATAAGGACATTGTTCTAATATTACAGACAGAATGGGTGAAATAATTGAGAATTCATGGGCTAGAAATAAACCGACATGCTTATGGTTAAATATTGATTCTTGTGTGATTTTGGTCTTTCTAGCCACATCTTCATTTGGCAGACACACAACGCTTTGTTTATTATTTGCTGTTTGCTGAAAGTGTTCATTTGTGAGATGTCAGAGGAAGAGCTACAGCTTCATTTCACTTATGAAGAAAAATCTCCTGGCAGTTACAGTAAGTATTGCCTTTGAAAGTATTCTTGGGATCACATGTGTAGCATATACAGATAAACTTTGAAGAATAAACGTATAATTTTGAAAATTACGTTTTTCCTCTCATGATTTTCATTTTTAAATGACATGACGTCGTCACTGTTCAGTCCCCTATATTGATTTAAATTAGCCAAGACTCTTACAGGTTTTTCAGTAGGATTGAGACTGTTACTTATTCTGACTTCCATGCATATGGGAAATAAAAATAAAAATCACAAGTATTCCTTTCAGGAAACAAATGCCAAGTTAAGTACAATTTAGTAGGCCAGTACATTATTAATCAGAATTACACATTTTATAAATGTTAAAGGTTACTTTCATAGGATGTAACAGTTTCTGAGCCTGGGTGTCTTTGGGACTACTTGATCAGAAATAGTATTTTCGAGGATAACTTTATGATGCCAGAGTGTTACTGTCTTTTTTTCAAGGTAGCAGGAAAAGGTTACCATTTCCTCCTGATATTGCTGAGATATTTTTCCCCCTGTAGTTACTGGGGCCTGTAGTTTTCAAGATCAATTGCTGGTGTTTCATTTCTTAGCAATGAAACTTACAAACTGGAAAATACAAGGGTGGTGGGATTGTTAACAGTGAAATAAGGAGAATGTGACGTGTTGCATCTGCCCTGCAGCACACTTGTCTCTCGCTGAAGGCAAAGGCGCTGCTGCTTCTGAGTTTCCTGGATTCATTTTTCAAAACACACCTCTGCCCTGATTAGGCTTTCTTGTCCACTGAGAGCCTTATACACTGAATATGTGTAATAATTTACTACTTTGATAATCAGTTATCTGTATTTGTTAAGTATATACTGATATTTAAATGGTTAGAGCTTTTAATCAGGGTTATGTCTTGCATGTGTTAGTTCTGCTAATGATAGGTTTTGTTTTTGTGGTACCAGCAGTGCCAAAGCATGGTTCTGCTTAGTGAGTTTGAAAACCTTTCCAGGAAGTTCTAGTAGCAAGAATGGAGTGAATGTTTATCTCCATGGGGCCTGAGAGCTTAGTCCAAACACACCTGCAAACCCAACAGTTTATTTTGTGTTATGTCACAAAAACTGGCAAATATTGTGCTTTATTTAACACAATATCATTTTTATTTTTATGTAAAATCATTTTTTCAGTACTTGCCGTTGAGCAAATTGATGCACTCGAGATACACACTGTATTCATTTGGGAGCCAAACATCTTCCCAGAATACCCTCTCTGTGCCTGCACTCCCCACTCACACCGAAGCCTGAGAAGCAGGATTCTGTCATATACCCCAGGTAGCCTGGTGTAGAGGCAGGACAGAAACAACGCTTTACAACCACGGCCACTTTACCAAGATGGTTGCCTCACTGGAGGAGCCATCTGTGAGGTCTGGTGTTCGGTGATTCTGTATGCTGCAGCCTGTCCTCCTCTTTCACAGGGTTAGCAGTTCGGGAGTTTTACATGTTCTTTTGTTTTTTTTATTTGCATTTGAGCCTCCTGTTTGTCCACCAGCCTAAGTCTAGTTGCTTGCTGTTTTTGGTATATGTAATTATTTTCATCTTAGCCTTTCATGTTGTTTCTTTGAGATTTCCACTTCTTATCACTAGTGTAAGTCCTTTTTAGTATTTTCTATCAGTGTCTTTTTTATATTTTATAAAAGTGTGATAGCAGTAAATGATTGCACAGATACTGCTGAATGGGAAGAAAAAATGGAACCTCATTTTGCGTAGCTGAAAACATCCATTTATTAGCCAATATCTGAATATCTGACCAAGGTGTGTGAAAGACTGTTCAGGGATGGGTAATACACAGCAGTACAGGTTTAAAGTTTGAATCGACAGAAGTAGAGGACCACCTGCAAACAAATGAGCAAGGTCAACTGAGGCATTTTAGGACAGTTGGGTTATTACAGCACACTGAATTGTTTGTTTACCCTGGTTCACTGTAGTGCTGCTGTGATCAGATGAATACTGCTGCCATATTCAGTGGAACCATCTTTCTGAGGGTAATGTGAGTCTCAGCTCTCAGTTTGTAATTGAAATTAGTGAGGATTTCATACTTGAACATTTTCCCACAGGCTGTGTATGACGTGGGAGTAGACTGTTAGAGAGAACTTGTACCATTATGCAAAGACGGCTCTTTCCACTAGTCTGTGCCTTTCGGAATAGTCAAGGGGAGGAAGCCAGCCGTGGGCAAAACTATGAAGCGCTACAAAATTGTCGGCATTTTCCCTTTGCTTTCAATACGAGTTTTCTATTCCTCTGCTTGGTATTATGTCCCATTCTTGCCAACCTAATAACTGGTATCTATTTTACATTTTGTACCACATAAAACCAACATTTTAAGTCCTTAGGGATCTGAATCTGTTGCTGGTTTCTGCAAGCACTTATGGCGACTCGTTTCCTTATGTCTTTGATGATGTCGACTGTGAGCTTTTATTTGTTTGATCTTAATCTGAGGCCTCAAATAAGGCAGAGACTTGCATTTGCTTCTGAAGGGATCCAAGGTCTGCACCGTAGACCACTTGAGTCTCCTTCAAGAGTTCTTGGCTTAACGTGGCCCTCAGGTTCAGCTTCCCAGTGGCAAGGCTGATGGCTCAGTCTCCCCGGCTCTGGCTTCATCCCAGGGACCCCAGATCCGTAGAGTTTGCTCATTGTGCAGTGTTTCACTCCAGCTTTGCTTGTGGTGGTTCTTTTTGATTACGGTGCGGGGGTCCTTGGAGATTGCCTTTACCTTCCAGAAGCCCATCAATGCACTGAAGAGTGTATTTTAGCCAAGAACAAGTTGTTTTGGACTGGAGGGCTCTTTGGAGTAACGACTCCACTATTCTGCCAACGGAAGGCCACTATAGTTTCCTTAAAATATTTTTTTACTTTTTGTCAATGAGGGAAGACACCTTTGGGGATTGAGAGACTGAAGACAGAAGCGAAGAAAGGAGGGATGAGCTGAAAGAAGGTCCAGGGAAGTAGGAGACACTGGGATCCAGAGCATGGAGAGGGAGTGTAGGTTTGCTTTGGAAGAATGTGCCACCTGTGTCCCTTGGCGGGCAGCTGTGTGGATGCTGAGGACGAGGACGAGGATGAGGAGGAGGTGGAGGTCTTCTGCCGAGAGCCGGGGAGAGCGAGGTGTGCGGGCCTGAGGAGCTTGGGAACCAGTTTAGCACAGTTTTGTGCAGAGGAGGAAAGAGACTAGGGACTTGTCAAGTCCAGGTAAATGACTTGCTTGACTTCATTTCCTTGGCATAAAGTAGTTCAGTATAAATTTATTTTTAAAAATTATCAACTTTGTAGGACTCGCTCTCAAGCATAGTGAATTAAACATACGTGGTTATCTTTGCTTTCTCCTGAAACCCCAGTAAAATATCAGTAAGGGGATTTTTAACAAGCTATGAATTCATTAGGTTAAAGGGAAAGAGAGGGGGACACGTGTTAATAACATTTGCAGATTGGAAAATTGAGTAATGATGAGCTAAACTGATCAGCGAACGCTGAGTGCTAAGTGCCGTTGGGGTTGGAGAACCCCAGAAGAAAGCCATTTCTTGCTGCAGTGCCCTGGAAAAGCTTAGGAGTTGGAAGTGCCTCTGTCTTAGGAGGCAGGCAACCAGGGGCACTGATGGAAAAAAAGCAGTTAGAGACCCAGACTCCCCCTGTCATGTAGTCATGAGACCACCCCCTCCCCAGTTGGACACCACAATCTGTTCTCTGTAGGGACTGTACGAGCAGGGCCTCCCTGTGTGAATCTCAGGCACGGTGGAGGGGGTGGCGTGCTGAGAACAGGGTTGAGAGAAAAGGCTGCAACTGGAAGTCCTGATTTGGCCTCTAGGGTGCTGGCACCCACCCTACTCCCTTTCCTGCCAGAAGATTAGTAGATACTTTTCCAGAGAACATGAATCCAAAACAGGCAAAGACTTAGAGAAACTGACATTCGGGTGCCCCTCATTGGAACAGCTCAGCATTTGCCTCCCCCCAGCAGGTAAATAGGGAAACAAGGATCTCATACTGTTGAGAAAACTTAAAATTTGTGCGACCAAAACAAATAGAAGAAAAAAAAATATGAGATGGAAATTTATGGGAAAAGAAGTTCTTTCCTAGGCATCAGACAAAAAATTTTATCTGTTTTGTTGATAGATAGTTCCATAATATAATTATAGAATATGTTGTCTATTTACATGTTAATTAAAGGTAACAGACAACTAAAATTTTTTGTTACAAAACAAACAGAAACCTAGTTTCCTTTCCATTCCTCTCTGGCTTAAACCCTTTTGAAACTCTTTGGAATTACCTTCCAGATCCATGGTGTATTCGTTTTACTAAGTGCAGTGGAGGTAAATCTCCTTCCTTTGAAAGTATCTTTGATTTTTTTCCCCATGGCTCATGGCTGAAGTTCTGCCCCATAACCAAGTTCTTTCCTCTGCTTGAGCTCAGTCCCTTGGGCCTGAGGCCACTGTAGCTCAAGAGATAAACCTAAAGTTGTGTGGTGGGTGGGTAAGTGATTTCTGTTTTTTTTTTTTAAATCTTAATATAAAGCTTAATAGTTCAGTTTCATTAGCTATAGATCAGTAATGCAAAAAAAAGAAAAAAAGAAAAAAATGCCCCACAATAGGTGAAAAATGTGACCTAGAGAAAAAAGTGCAGATTTATTCTTTTGAAATATTTAACATGAAAGACTTGCAGTGTGACTTTGCAGAAAAATAAAAGTGCTTCTAGGAGCTCCTGACTTATCCTTTGGTCATATAGTAGGTTACAGTGCAATTTGTGATATTTCTCTTCTCTCTCCCTTTCTTTCTTTTTTATGCAATCAGTGAAACAAAATGAATTAATCCTTAGTAATAGGCACATTTTATTATGAAACCTGGTAGGCTATATTATCCTTGAGGGTAATCAGAAGCATTTCTGTTTGACCACAGTAATGGTAGTCGACCAGAATCATTGCAGATTTTATTGGAATGGTGTGAGACATAGGTTTATAAATACTGTGATGCATGAAGATGTGGACC